TCGTCACGGAAGAGCTCTCCTCCCGAGGAGGGGCCGGGACTGCGCGTGGGGAAGCGCTCGGGCCGCCGCCCCGGCGTGCCCATCGTCTTCAACTCGGCCTTGGCTGAGCTTGCGGGATGTATTGGGTTTTTTTTACTTTTTTTGGATGTGTTTTCGTGTTTATGGAAGAGGGCAAAACCAGCAGGATGGCTGTTGCTATGCAAGGTGCCCGCACGTTGTTCCCGTTCAAGAGCCCGACTGACTGGCCATCCTTACAAAGCCTCATGAGTATTTTGGTCGTACTTTGTGGATTTCGTGATACCTCATACAGAAATAAAACCGGTCAGTCCAAGAACTTACTCCTTTTTTGTTGTTGCCGTTGTTGTTTAGATCCACTAGAAAAGTATGGGTGTGACCATTTCATTTCAGGCGGGCTGGTGTAATTCTTGCATTAGTTAACTAATGAGCTGTACAGACTGAGCAGGGGGCTGTTAACACGCATGCTGCAACGGGATGTACGTGTGTAAAACGTGGCAAAAGTCTTCTAAAACGTTGTATTCCTGCCTAGCATGTTTTAAGACAGAGCAATGAAGGAATGCTGCACTGAGACCATATCCTTCTCATTTAGCTCCGGTTTTATTCATAAGATTGCCATTACACCCGCTTCAGCTGAATATTTTGTGTCATGCTGACACTACAAATTAAGCCAAACCTACTTTTTTCTGAGCTACGAGAGCTTTATTTCTGTAGGAGGGGGCACGAATGATGTGCAATGTTTATAGCTGGTAGCATATGCACATCAATACCCTCAGTGTGCTCGTGATAGCTGACGTGTATGAAAATGACTGACAAACCAGAGCAGGTAACAGCGAGAGCTCTCTACCTGCAGGCGGGAGCCGTGTTCGATGCTGTCACCAGAGCTGCGAGGGACCTCACTGGTACCTGACGGGGCGGGAGGTACACCTGCATCCCCACAGCTGGTTGCCGCGGCGGATTCCCAGTCCGACTGATGCCCTCGAGGAGTCCAAGACGCTGAACACGAACTGAAATATGCTTGTGCTGTGGTCACGTGAGGCTGTTTCTCCGCCAAAGCCCCTGGCTGTAGTTTCTGTGCAGGTACTACCAGCGTGGCCGTCTGTGCAGGTTTCAGCGGCTGCATAGCGTTTTTAACGGCAATGTCTGTTTTCGTAGGAAGCTGCCAAGTGGGGCTTGTCAGTTCTTACAGTCTGCAGCGGCGTGTGTGCCTTTAGGCTCTCACTAACGCTACTCACGCGGGGAATGAGGAAGGACAATTCAGGGCAAGGGTCCTACTCGTCCAGGGTCTCACTGGCTCTTCAGCAGGGCTTTTTCTTGCTTATTCTGGGTGAAAAATCAGCATTGGTTCAGTGACGCAAGACTTGAGGCTCATTATATCCGTGCTCTGTATCTGTCTCTCACCAGCCTAGCCAGTAATCTATTCTCTACACCTCACTCTTTTCTATGGGTATCACGTCTTGCATCAAAACTGTCTCTTGGTGGGTGCTCATGTACTGGAGTTACTTGTAAAGGTACCAGATGCTGACAGGTAGCTGTAGCATCTCAATCTCAGGTAGCTTCCTCCGAGGAAGTCGGACTTACGGTGACATTTCTTAGAAGACAACATCACTCCGAAAACAGTGACCTTGTGATGTTTTAACAGAACCTCATTACAATAATTCGTGTCTACTCATAATTACTGCTGCTGATAAAGTGTTATTATAAAGGTGGGTAAAGTTGAAACTGTGCTGTGTAAATGGGACCGAGCTTTGTTCAGTGAGAAACAAGGAGTGGTGAAGCCTAAATCCCCACCCAGCACGCAGAAAGGGGCTGCAAAGAGCATCCTGGGGGCATTTGTTCTGGCTCCCTGATCTACTGCAGGATCACGCATACCTCGGCCATTCTTGGCAAATATTTTCAACTTTTTTTTAATAAATTCCAGTGACAGAGTTTAGATAGCTTGACAGGCTGTTTTAATGTTTAACCACTTACAGTTCTTGTCTTTTTTTCTCCAAATAGCTCATCAGAACAGCCTTCCCTGAAAAACAAAGACATTTCTTTTCTGCTCTCAGTGGCAGCATTTGCTGAGCTCTTACATGAGCCTTATTCATAGCTGAGGACTTGTCAAGGCTTCTCTCATGACTGAAACAAACCTAATATGATTCACAAGTCACTCACTTATATTATTTTCCTCCAAATGCTCTCGTCTGTTTATGTCCTTCTTAAAACACAAAAGCCGCAAAGCAGACACAATACCCTGAGGATTCACTAGTGTTAAGAAGAATAAAATAATTGCCTCTTCTGTCTTACAACACTCCTTTAAATCATCCTAGAATGTCACTTGTTTCTTTTGTCACCACATCATGTTGTTGATTCACACTCTGCTTCTGATTCTCTAAAACTTGCAGGCGTGTGGGGCTTTTTCTTCTGCAAAACTGCAGCCTAGACACTTTGTTGTTCACCATTTTAGTATTTTTCCCTTCCCTTTTTATTTTGACCTTTAACTAATCCATGATGAATTTTGCCCGATTGATTTCAGATCATTTTTCCAGCCAATCAAGAGTGAATTTGAATTTTAGCCTATCCTCAGACGCCTATCCCAGGGTGCATTTTCTCAAGTTTACTAAGAAAAATGTGCCTACTCCTGCATTCAAATTACTTACTAAAAAAGTACCAAACAGTACTACATCAAATTCTTGCAGACTTTATTTGATTAGCCTTCTCGCTTTTTAATGTTTGGTATCTACTACTGAGTTTGATTTTAGCCAGTTGTGAACTTAACTTACAGTGATTCTATCTAGACTGTATTTCCATAGCTTGCTTAAGATAAGATCAGATAGGCCATTCCCCAAGTGCATTCAAAGTCTGGATTTCCCCACTGATTTTTTCCTTACCGACTAGGCTAGTTATCCTGACAAAGGCAGCAGATGGTTATTTTCATGTGATTTGTTGGCAAATTCACAGTGGCAGTCTTGCCTCTCCAGTGACCACTTGTATTTACGAAAATAATTCCCATTTTTGTTCATCAGGACAGTGGTACCTCTCCTGCCTTTGTGAACACTTGAAGATGAAAGAAAGGTTCAGAAGCTGATCAGGCCAATGCCCTTGGTAGTCTTGGGTAAATCTCGTGAGGCTGCGTTGACCTGACTACTTCTAATAAATACGCTTGAACCTGCTGGCATTCCAGCCTGCCTTCTCCCTTTCACTCCCCAACATCTTCTTCAATGTTAATACCGCGTAACTCGTTCAGCACGATCGAAATCCAGATTTTTTTCCTTTGTTAGCTGGCCAACCTTGCATGTTGCAAACCTCATTTGATTTGTGTTACAATAATGCAGATGTATTAGCATAACTAAGACAGAGTAACTGAATATGACCACATTGTTAAATGTATGTTTTGGTATTGAATTAGCTCAGTTCTGTACCAACACAGGTAGATTGTTTATGGCAACCTGAGGCAGGAAGGCATTAGGGGGCTTTTGCCTTCTTTCTAACTCTTCAGAACACAGGTTGACTCACACACAAATAATAAATAACTTGCAAAAGTCAAAGTGTTGCTTTTAACAAACACGTCAATGTTTTCTTTTTAAATAAGCATTTTAAGAAGGCCAGATACAAAAAGAAGGACTAGACTAGACATACTGACTTCAGATCTGATCACAGTCTGCTACTGGTTGGCTCGCACGCCCCATAATCGCCTTGCGAGGGAGCACCCCTATCTGCTGACATCCTAGCTCCGCTTTGCAGGCTGGCACATTCCTGGGGTTTCCTGCGTTACCTGGAAACCTGCCCCCGTGCACTGGGCTTCTTGGGAGAGTCGGTGATACAGGAAGTTGTTGCAAGGAATCACGGTAAGAAGTTTGTTTTTCCAATTTGTTTTTCCATTTCACAAAGTATCACAAACTGCACCTTTCTAAGCTAACACTTCTGAGGAAGTACGTCTTAAAAGTGCATGTCTTTAAAGAAACCACTGTCCACAGAACTGACAAAATAAAATTTTCTTTAAACATTCAGTCATTAAAAAAAGCACACACACAAAACACATCCAGTTCACCATACCTCTATTTTGCTATATTCTGTACAATGTACTGCATTCTATCCAGACCTTTGGAAAGTGATCAGTTTATTTATTCTTTTCCCTGCTAAATGAGCCTTCATACAGATATATTTATTTTCTTTTCTTATGTAGCCATTTTACATTACACTGCTAAGACGTGGTTTTTGTTGAAATTATTTCATCAGTATCTGAACTCACTTTAGCAAGAATTATAATGACGTGCTACAGTGTTTGAAAGTTTATTTTAAATATTAATCTGTTCCTTGCCTACCAAAAAAAAAAAAAAGGAAAAAATGCTATTGTAGCAGTAAGTAGTATAAGGTTAGCCTTAATGTTCTATGAACACAAAAATGTAAAACGGCTACAATATTCATAAATATGTACCTATTTTGGTGGTTTAAGTAGTTTACAAAATGCACGTAGAGTGCTTAGCCATCAGAAAAGACATGTATTTTTCATGTTTATTTTTACTAGCTTACTGTCACTGCTGAGTATTTCATTACAGATTGGCTACAATGTTCATAAATATGTACCTAATTCTGGTGGTTTAAGTAGTTTACAAAATGCACGTAGAGTGCTTAGCCATCAGAAAAGACATGTATTTTTCATGTTTATTTTTACTAGCTTACTGTCACTGCTGAGTATTTCATTACAGATTCCAGAAAATGTTAGGTATGAAGTATAATGTCATCCTGAATTGTTACTATAGCAGCAACAACTGTGATCAAGAATAAGCAAAGTGCTGCTACAATTACATTTTTCCTTAAGCAGAAGAGTTACTAGCTAAATCTTACCTTCTTCCAAAACCGCTTTGTTTTTTTATCACATCCCTGGAAAAATGTAAAATAGTAGTTTTATGTTACCTTTTTCTGCACGCTTCAATTGCATTTCCTCTGTGTACATTGCAGGTTCCAGTTCTCCACTTGTTGATGCACATTAAAACATTTACCTGCAGAATCTAACTGCATAATGGAGATTTATTCCAGCAGTTTTCATCTTACGCTATGCAAATCAGACTATCACTTTTCAGAGAACTGCTCTAACTCACAGGTTTGGTCAGAGGGGTTTGTTTTGTTTTGTTTTGTTTTTTAATTTCCAACAGTGACCAGAGACCAGATTCCTCTTCACTTGCACACATGTTCAATTAGTAGCCTATGCATATTATGAAATTTTAAACAGCAAGGAGTGGTAAGTACCAGATCCAAAAGCAAGAGATTAGAAGGCAGATCTTGAAAAGATGGAGAGTCAACCAGGTATAGACCAGGAATGCTGACATAGTAAGTAACTTGAATAAACTGCATCTATGTTCAGACCAATGCTAGTTGTTAACTTTTTGATTATATTTTAACCATTATAGCTTCTCTAAAGTGGATGAATGTATATTCATTGTGGACTTAAAATCCGTCTTGATGGAAAGTTGGGTCCAGCACATTCCACTGTAACTGGTATCCCACTACACTAAATTTATAATCGTTGCTTTAGTCTATCCTTAGAAATGGAAATTCCTGTCGAGTTCTAATGCTTAATACTCTGCATTTTTGCAACCAGCTAAATATTCCATACATGCAATTAGTACTTAATGTACTATCCTTCCTATATATACTTAAGTGTTACAGAATTACAACATGTAAAAATTTGTTGTGCTGGCTAGTTATATAAAATGCTTTTGGCTTTCTAACAAAGCGGTAATTGTTCGGGCATCTTTGCTTTCACTAACTTATATAAGACAATAATTCTAACACTTGAAATACAGCATAATATTACAAATGCAGAATGTTTTCATGTCCTCAGTCATATTAAATCTAGGTTGTTTTTATTTACTTACTTTGACTAAGCCACTTGTCAATTGCATTCTCGTATTTTTTTGGTTCTTTTAACCAGTCTTGATGCCACCTAAGGTTGGCAATAACATTTGAGTAATTCTGACCCAAACTTTGTTTCCAACTGAGAAACTGTCTTTTGTTATACTCCTGAACAGAAGAAGAAACCTTTGGATAGTTTACTATAGAGCGGAGTATTTTGTCCAAGGAATGTACAATTACTGGGAATTTTATGGCAACGTTTGTTAGCTCATCTGGGTCGGCAGTAAGGTCTGGAACAAACAAAAAGTCAGTTAAGAGCCGATTTGCATTTAAGTAAATTAATGAGTCAGTCAGGCACAAGAGTCGTAACATACCAAACAGTTGTGGAAGTACCGAATGGCCATCTGAGTACGCGATGTATTTCCATTTGCTAGTTCGAAGCATGTACGTGGAAGAATTCACATTGCATCCGTGGAACTCGCTCAACACCCAGGAGGGCCGAGGCCCTCTGGGTGACACTTCGTTTTCAGCCTTTCCATGTAGCAGCGGTATAAGAGAATATCCACTGAGGTTCTGTGGGACAGGAATTCTTGCTATATCTAAGCAAAGATACACAAAGTCAAAATGCAGTTACTGTGATTAAGAAAGCCTAACGTAATGCTACAGGAATCTGAACATAAATTCTACTTCAGTAATAAAACATGCATTCCTAATTATTCTCCTTGAAGAACACAGGAACCCCCAAATACACAAACAATAGAAAAAACCTTAAGGAACTTTCCAAGGTCAGCTGCCCACCATCTTGATCAGAAGCAGCGTCAGCTACGTCTAAGTCAATCTTTAACAAATGTTTGTTAAAACTGATCATGATAGTCTCCAGTGATGGGTGGTGCTTTTTTATTTTTTTCAACCATGTTTTACACCCTTCCCTTCTGCTCTGACCACCTTCTGTCAGGCAGAACAAAGAGATTGTCAAAGCATGAAAGGACTCTAAAAGCTCTGTATCCAACATGGTCTAACCATGCATTTCTTTGACAATAACGGTGCTAAGCTCCTATCTATCATACTTCATCAGTGAATTACAAAACACTTTACAAAAGGTGGCCATTATGGTTATCACCTATAACGTGTGGGGAAACTGAGGAACAGGGCCACTTGCTTCTCTAGCAGGGATGGACATAAAGATGGTATCTGAGGTGGTATCAATACAGTGCACATATGGAAAACACTGGATGACTCTATAGCCTACTAGATGACTCCCAGAAGATGCTGTAGCTTGAACAAGCTCCTCAGTATCAACTTACATCACAAGTGTCTCTAGCTCCCAAAGATCAGGTCAATATTAAAAGGCTACAAAGATCTCTCAGAGACATTCTGAAAAACATAGTTGAGAATCCCAAGGACGTTACCTAAACTTCCTGGTCCTGGTCCTAAAACCAGGGTATGACAGTACTGCTATTTTTAATGACCCTACTGAACATAGCATATAGTCATTCAAAATTCAACACTTTCCATTTCACAGTGCACTGTGGTAGTATTTTATCTTCTGTTCTATGCCGAGTGGTGATACTCAGAGCATGCAGATTGCCCATAGGTGAGTTTTTCCTTTATGAGCATGTATCTTCCTTTTTCTCCTCTGTTTCTACAGCATATATATGTGTCATTAATCTTCCTCTAGTAAAGAAAAAAGCCAGCATTTGACTAAGCACCAGGAAGACCTGTAACATGTAAACCCAGTAGCTTCCAGCGTGTGGGCTAAAAACTTGAGGAACTACATTAGAACACATGAAAAAAGGGATATAGGCCTTCCTCTTCTGTCATCCTAAACCAGCAGTGCTATTAACTGCAGTAACTGCATTCTCCACATGCAAAGAACGCTCCAAGCTGGCACCTTCAGCAGCTCCTGCTTTTCCAACAGAGATCCGAAGGTACCTCCATCCAGACCAACAAAGCCAGTGCTATCTGGAGGAAAGCTTATGCTACATCCTGTTAAAAAATGGAAGAGCTGTTGCACTCTTGGCTGAATTATCCGTATCACACAGATTCTGCTGGAATCAAAACATCTGTACCACACTCGCTATAGGGTACACCTAATCTCAAAGTCAGTATTGAGCAAAGCATTTGGATGGCGTCTTAAGAGAGATTATTGTCCTGAGACAACACAAAGCAAAGGGATTACATTTATCATGAAAAAAGACTTGAAATCTGTTTCCTCACTAATCAGCAGTAGCATGCAGCCTGAAGACATAATAGATGACAGAGATGATTCTTCATGTTTTCACATTCATCTTGACATATGTGCCTTTTTTGACATTCAGATTACAGGAAAGGGGAACTGCCAGAACAGAAGGAAAGGACTTAAACACACAAAGTTCTGGGAAGAAAAAACAGGAGGAAAAGAACAAGGAGGAAGGATGTTAAACCACCTGACCAATTATGTTACTTGGGCACAAAGAAGAAAAAAAGGAGATTTTTAACTCTTTACATGTTCTTATACAAGAACCATATCTCATACAGATTACTTTACATATATAAAGATTGGATATCAGAATTTGGAAGAGAAAGCTACTCAGATTATATCCTATTTTCAACTAGGTAACTGGTTCAAAAGATTTGAGAAGAGACAAGCAGGTAAGTATCTTTTGTTTGTTTTTAGAAAATCAACTTAAAACAATATAGAAGAGGATTTTTCACTGGCTTTTACTGATAGAAGTACAGTTTTATCTACTGCCCCATGTTCTCTCAGGCGACTGCAGTGTACACGTGAGACTTCTTAAAGAGTGACCTTTGCAGACTGCCTTGAAGAGAACATTTTTCTGATCAGTAGCCTAAAAGATCCCAGATAAAGCCCAGAACGGCGACTTCATCTAATGTTTGGTTCCAATGACATCCACCTCTTGCATGCTTTATCACAGGTTAACTGTTGAAAAATTCACTCTTAAAAGTAATTTCCATCTCTAAGTAATTTGATGTCAGTCCTTTTTATTTGATTCTCTGCTCCATAATGAATATTTCCATACTGAAGAAGGTAAGAATGGATATCCATTATCATATCTTATTATGCTTGCCCAGATCAATTGTACATTTCCTACACAAAGTCTTTATTACGTTTCTTCCACATGACCCTTCATAAAGGACATTCCTTTGGCAGCTTCCTTCCAATGAAGCTGCCATCCTTTCAGGTTTAATCTGATGCATTTACACTGTAATCTCTACAGTAAACTGTTAGGTATGAAGGCTAGCAAGGATTATTCATATCTAAACCCATCTGATTGTTTTTATCACCTTTTTTTTAAATAACAAATTATCCTATATATAATCATTCACTGTAATTGTTTTGATGACAGTAACAGTAGTAAGGAACTTCATCAGCTCCTTTATTTAATTTTTAGATCATTTTTTGCATTTTGTATTAAGTTTGTATGCATGCTCCACAGATAAATTGCTAGCTCCACAGATAAATTGCTACCTCCTGTTGTGTTACTATATTGCCTCACAAAGTGGAGACGTAATTCTGACTATAATACAAATGCATAATAATAGTAGTAATTGGGAAAAAAAAATTCATTTGAAATTACTTAACTCACCAAGCATAGTAGGATATACATCCACAAGAGAGACCACATTTGGTACTTGCTGCTGTTCTTTTACGCCAGGCCCCATAACTATAAGAGGAACATGGGAACTTCCTTCATACATGCTCATTTTATAGAACTGCTGGTGCTCCATAGCAAGTTCTCCATGATCTGCAGTGAATATAACGATTGTTTTTTTAAGAAGCCCAGTATCTCTCAGAGCTGAAATAATCTCACCTGCAACAAGAAAAAGATACTCAAAAGGACACCTTCAAAGGATTCCTTCCAACTTCCGTACCTGCAAAGCAGCGTGCAAACCCCAAGGAATCCTAGATGGAGGGTCGGAAACTCCTCTCTCTGCCACAGAAGGCAGAGCCCAAAGCATTCAGCCCAGAATAACATATAGTTGTCAATGAGTTGCAAGGGTCTGGCTCCCAATGAAGCGTGGAAGGCACTGGACAACAACCACAAAAATTTCAAAAGGAAAGGATGCACCACAGGACAAGCTGCATTTTTGCTATCATCACTTCTGTTTCATTTCTAGCGTAACTAATAATAGTTATTTCAACAGCAGTAAAATAGGTCAGCAGAAGCCCTGGCACTACATTTAGGGTGAAGGACTCTTGACAGTATCCACCTTACACATAATCAGTGGAAGTCCCTCCTTCCTGTGCCTGTATCCCCACAGGAGCCCCTTGCACATACATGTGTTCAACGAAGACAGGGCCAAGATCAATGAAGTTGGTAACGAAGCAAAGCGCTTACACATCTTTAATGTTAAAACACTAAGATGATTCTTGCTTAAACAGACTAGTTAAAAACTTAAAATTGTTACCAAATTAAACCCCAGTGCAGATACTTTGCAATACCTTAATTCCCTAAAACTGTCAGGCTCCTGTTGATCTCTTTTCTTTCAAAAATGTGGAAGAGTAATTCTGTGTCTTTTAAATTACTTTATCATTCTAACATTGCTAAAAAGATGAGCTTATTTATTCATGAATTTCATATTAGAATGCAAGGAAATTCTTATTCTTTCATGGTCACTTTTCAAATTAAGAAACAAAATACTGTAAAAGAAGACCAATTTGCATTATAATTTTTATGTATGTAGACCTTACTGCAAACTAGGAAGAATTCTGAATGCCTAATTTTTTTTTTTTCTTTTTCTTAACTTTCAGTAATATGCTGCTAAGGGAGACTTCAAAGGTAACCTTACTGTTTAGTCTATGTGTAATAGCTGTTACCTAGTCTATGCATCTGAAATCAAGCTCCAAGGAAATTGCTTACGCCGTGAAATTTATCTTTCCTTCCAGCTTTGCTTTGCCGGTCTGTCCCCTTCAAAATTGTTTCCATTATTTTGGTTAGCACTTAATCAAAGAGAATTTAGTTCCTCTTGTACATGGGTCAAGCAACATTTTGCTGCAGTTACTGGGCTTTTACAGGGGCTCTGACTGGTGGTTGTGATTACTTTTCAGAGTGCTCTGAATTCACCTTGCAGTAGCCTTAAAAGCTATCCAGTTATAGAATCATATAGACTGATTAAGCAACATCCATGTGACTTACTCCCAGATCTGAATTGTGTTTGGTTTTTTTTTCTGGAAGACCAGCCCTATCAGCATTTTGTTAAAAGAATCAGAACACGAAAACCCATTGTATAATGAAACACCACCTACCCAGCATGGCATCTGTTTCCGCACACATAGCATAATAAAATGCTCTAATATTTCTCACTTCTTGCTTTGTAAACTCTCCTGTGCAATTCTTGGTATAAGATGAGTAATAGTCTACTGGATGCATCTCTGAAAGAGAAGACCACTTGGGTATTTTAATAGCTTCATAATTTACCTAAAAATAAGAGGAAATTAACATTACTTCAGCAACTGAATTAAACATTTCTTTAAAAAACAGATTTCATTTAAAACTTTTTAGCATAAATTCACAGTTCTCAATTTGTAGTCCAGGAAACACAAGCTGCTTATCTGTCACATGGTGCTGCTACCTCCTCCATACTTCCCCTCTGCTTCCACAGGTATCAAGTCATTTTAAAACAGAGCTATGAAAATCAGCTAGAAACTAAGGCGAAGAGCCAGAAATATTCTCTTTACCAGCTGATATCTTTTTTTAAGAGAGATGCCGCAGAACAATCTTCTAGAACTGTATTCTAGAGTAAGTACAGAAGTATTGGCACAGTGTCTCATCAACTACAGGATAACTATAAACCGTATGTGTCAAAAAGATCAGGTGTTATGTGAGCCTACAGAACAACACAGAAATTTACTTAGTCTGGTAAGGTCTTCAGGATAGTGGATGACAAGTCTTGACATCTTGACAAAAAAAATTCACTACATTAGTCCGATTTTCTACTACTTTTCTATTTGTTTCTACAGATTTCAATCCATTTAGTTATAAAGAAGTATAAGATCAGTTTGAAACTAAAAAGCAGGAGCCAATCAATTACAAATAATATTGGATTTGTATATTCAAACTGGCATGCTCATAGATATTGCGTGCTGCGGTACCAGCTTTAGAGCCCCAAAGTTCGACATACACATTTAGCCTAGGCAGTCACTCTTGTAAGCATTCCCACTAAGTAAGTGCTGCATTTAACAGTTAATTATTTCTGTACTGTAGACTTAAAGCAGAAATTACCACAAAGCAGAGAAGATGTAATCTCAGTATGGAAAACTTAAGTTTATTAAATAAAACCACACCTGTTGCTCTCATTTACCTCTGAAAATGTTCTCTAACAAACAGAGCTGAGGCCTTGATTATGCCACAGCAACTCCGGTGCCTGTGCAGCACATTCCCAGGGCTGCAGCCACAGCTCCACCCCTGGGCTGGCCCCAAACATGGGCAGCACTGGTTCCTGATAAAATAACTGAGACACTTACTGTCCAAGGGTGTCCATGCAGCACAAAAGCAATCAGACCTAAGTTGTTCCTAGACGCATTACATCCCTATTTATTTGTGTAGCAATTTAAGTTTCAATCCCTGCTGAAATTTGCCCCAAGGTGTGGCATGGATAACTAAGAGCTGTCTGAGGAGCTACTGGCGTAATGTCTGCCTCTCGAGCACATAGTATATTTTTGTCCACCAGTGCTGTTACGGCCATGTGTTCCAATACCCACAAAGTTCCACCTCCTACAGCAGTCAATATTCTCTCTTGAGTTATCTTGCAGATGTATTAAGTCATCTAAACAGCTGGTAAGACAGCAAGAGTTCAAGTGCCCATACGGATAAAACCCAGCTTTGTAACAGTCAAACAGACATACCAAAATCTAAGTTTCCTTAGGCCCTATAGAAAATAGGCTGCAAGAAGAAATCATGGAAGATAAAATAATAGCAGACAACTGCTTCAGTCATCTTCCTGATGGGCCTTGGCTGAAGGAATTAGCTACATGAAGTCACATTTTAGGTTCCTCAAATGGTATTTATTAGTTGCTTAAGATACAATGGAAGCAAAGTATCCCTCTCCATCCACGATTTGTCGGAAGACTGAACCCTTTTCTACAGGACTACAACCTAGTGTTAAGGATTCACAAAATCATAATCCCTTTGTCTGTCTGTCGTAATTCATAGCTAGGAAAGAAGCCACATGTCCTGAAGAAGTGCCAGCTTGTGCAAAACACAGGGGACCACATCTGCTTAGCCATACAGGGTTTCATAAACATACCGTGTTCATACTCTGTTTTGTATTAGCTCCCCAGTAAACATATAATTTAATTCAAGTTCTTCATCTATGCACTCAAACTTCTTAATGAGATTGATCTCTGTCATTTTCAAAGACTGCTTCTTCCATGGCCAAAACACAGATACATTCCAGAAGAATCAGCCAATGGTCAGTAAACGGTAATATGTGGTTCACATACCTGAGTATGCGTATGTAGTGGTGGAAAGGACCTCAGCAAACTATGGAGTTTAAGCACTCTAACTGGATTACAGACGACAAAAATTTGTCAGAGATGTTATAACTTGAAAAAACGTATCCCCACTTCCCAAGACATGTCTAGCCTAGCAATTAGCACCTAGAAAGTTTTCCTTAATATCCAAGCTAGATCTTGCTTTTTGCAAATTAAAGTTTTTCCCCCATGCTCTTCCTCCCTCCACAAACGCCTCACCATTCCTAGAAGAAAAGAACCCACAACCCTCAATATTACAAAGAAATTCACATCTCTCAGCCTTCATTTGTATATCCTTTTTTCTAAGTCTTTGTATTTTTGTTGCACCTAGAAAAAAAGATTTTGCAGTTCCCCAGTAGAAAAGGCCAAACGAATTATAGAAGTTGTGTATGGTTTTTTTTGAAGTAAGCATAAAGTCTTTTCAAACCTAATTCTCAGTTCTTCAGCTGCAGAGAATCTTTATGCCTTTATGCAGTGAAAGCTGTTGTAACCCATTTATATTTTTATGACAGATAACGGCACCTAGAGACTACAGAAGACAGAGGAAAAATATTTACTTCTTCTTTGGAATGGAGTGCTATCTGTTAGCTTTCCACATACAGACATAATGGGAATTATCTGTACTCTATTGAAAAGCTACAGTAGCATGGAAAGAAGTTAACAGAAAAGAGAGACTTCTGCTGTGTCTTACTACTTCATGTTCTAGGTTCATCTGGTAGGAAAAGTCACTCTCTCACTATAAAACTCAAACAATGATTACATATAGCATCATACAAGCACAATACAGAATGTTATAAACAATGAACTTCAGACCATTACTGAAAAAAAATTACAGTTACGTATAGCAACGATTTCATTCTCCGTTTAATGTACTTCTAGCCATTGAACTCCAAATATCTTTATTGATTCAGTAACTACTAACAAACCTTTTCCTACAACAGAAATTCTTCACTTCTATTTGCTTAGCCTTACATCAGAAATCTTAACATCTCATCCAAGTACTTTCTTACTGTGTACTGAAATATCAAAACTGGGCCCAACTTGAAAAATCATGTGATGAATAAAATACTGTTCATAGTAAGTACAGTTATAAATAAATTTATATTTAAATTTCATCTTCACGTACCTTTTCAAGCCAATAGGGAGATGTTAAAAACGTAGAGGATCCAAAATTTTCTCCCGCATAGGGTGATGGATATGGGTGTGGTAAATTTAGTCCCAAGTAAAGAACAAACGGTTGAGTAAGGTTAACGGCTTCTTCCTTTATCCAATTTACTGCTTTATCAGTATTCCGCCAATCTGCTTCCATCACTCTCACATGCTTCCTATCACCAGTAAGATTCACCATGGGTCTCCCTTCTTGCCGGAGAAGGAAGTCAACATCCCTAGTCCAGGCTTCCACACGGTTACTGAAAATACATATACAAGATACATACTCACTGGAAAATATTTTCTTCACTTTTCCTCTAAGACAAAAGAGTTAAGAATTGCTGAAGAACTTCCCCTACACTTGTAGCTGCAATCTATTTGTAATTTCTACATAAAGGAGAATTGTTATTCAATTGATCAATAGCTATTGTGCATCTGTTTTATACTGAAAGCTTTAGCCATTTTTTTCTGCTTCTGAATCTTCTTTCTTATTTATTACAACTTCATGTCAGAATGGTTCTTCTCACATCCACAAAATAATATTTAGAAATAGCATCTCCATCTTGTTGACCCTGTTCCTCATTCTGGCATGGATTCACATACTATTTATCTGGTAAAGTGGGCCTTAGATTTTTGTTATTTGAAAAAGTCCTGTGGGAAATAACTTGCGTGGAGAGGTTGCCTTTAGAAGCAACATGCTGGTTTTGGATTGTACTAGTACAACATTTTTAAACACTATCACTTACGACAAAAATCTGTAAGTGATTTATCTTGTACAATTGCTTTTGATATAGTTGATAAATGCTATCTAGAACAGGGAGTAACAGAGGAGAAGGGTGTAGAGAAAGCAAGAAGGGGGAAAAAAAGGCAACACTTTAATGACAAAATATTTTTGCAACAGATTTTCTAATATCATGACAGTTGTTGCCTCCCTGAAACACTGAGAAATCTGAGCTGCAGATGTCCGTGTTTCTTTGCCAGAGTGAATGACACCACAACTGCCATAAACAAGGGAGGAAACAGCCCATTTAAGACCTTGACTAATCTTCATTTTGTTCATGGCAATTTCAATAACCCAAGAAATTATAAAAGAAAATATGAAACTGCTCAAGGTTTGATCATGTACTTTCACCAAAACACAGCATTATTATTGTTTAAAGAGCATCTAACCAGTTTTGTCCCCATAGGAATTTTACCAGTGGACTTTTAACCTCCAGAAAAACTGTTCAGAATTATCTGTAACAACAATTTTTTAAATTGTTTTAACTCCTTGTTTAGGCTCACACTTTCAAGGTAAACAAATTACTTAGAACAAATTAAGGTAGCTAGATGGCCTATCAAGAAATCACATTTCATAAACATTAAAATGAAATAATGATAAAGGGGTGGGTGGGGGTGTCAAATTGCATCTAATGTCATAATAGTGACTTACGCAGAAAAAACTATTATGTAGGCCATAAGCCAGTCTGAGTATCCAATCAGATTGAGGTTAGGATCAAATTAAAAAAACAAAAACAAACCCCCCAAAACTAAAAGAAAATAACAACAAAATCCCACTTCTGGAGCAACGAAGGAGATGTTTTGACACATCTAAGAGGAAAACTAATCCTCAGGCAGAAGAGGAGAAAAAGATAGGCCACAGTAAGAATCTTCAAAAAGCATGGGATCAGGGAGCAGTGGTGGTTTTGCTGTTTAAAGAAACAACATATGTGCTTAAGAAAAGTTTCTAAAGAGATAATACTGCCTGCTGAATCTTGCACTAGCTGAACTGTTCTATATCCCTTCGCTAGACTCCTTTTTAACAAGAAATTAAAACAGCAGGACATTTTAATTATCTCTACAATGAATAGGAACTGTTGTTATAACTCTTCTACACAATTTATAGATTACTTAATTGGCTACTTAGGGTTTTTAAATGTCTACACAGATGCCATGCTAGGAAGGAGATGTACATTTTTCTCTGACTGAGGAATTCTATTTGCAGTTTTCATTTTTTGAATTAAAAACTGTGTAAACTGCCATTTTCAAATTCCTCTTCTGCAGGCATAGAAAAGCTGACTAACCGTGTGTTTATTCTCAACCCCTACCCACGCTTATTCAAATAACAGTAAGGGCTTGATCCTGTTAAGTACAGATCTCAAACTCTCACTGAAGGGAAAGTTAGAAAAAAATGTATCAAAAATTTGCACCAGGTGCAAATGTAGGATAAAGGCCTAGGACAAAAGATAATTAAAAACTGCAACACCATGGACTTCACAGTATTTTTCTGTTATCTTTGAAGTGCCTAAGCATTCAGCTTCATGGAACCAAGAGCTATGTAAACATGATGTGATTACATGGTTACATCATAATTTCTGTTTGTGAGAGTCGAACCCTATCACTAAAGTAGATGAATCTATACATGGCAGAACGAGAAAAATCAGAGTACATGACTGTAACTCCACTGATACTGGTGCTGCTACAATTTTGCAAAACCCTGAATTGTGTTAATTTATTTCTCATCTGTGGAGACTTGTAACAAAAATATTTAGAATGGTATCAATAGAACCATTCAAATGTGACAGTCCCAGAGAAAATACGGATGAGAGGAAGGTTAAAGCAGTGGTGAGCATCGATAGCCATGAACATGAATGACATCAGCAAAACAGGTCAGTACTGAAGAAGGGGCTGTGTGTGAAGACCACCGCCCAAGCGACTTGTCAGCAGCATCCTGATAGCAGGATGGCAACCAGGTCATTGTGCACTGTCTGCCATTCCTCTTCCTGTAATTCCAACAGAAAAACACAATACAATAAGATAGCCACAATAAGGAAACAAAAAGGCTATTTGCCCAATGTTCCTGAAGACTGAAGTAAGCAAGATTCCAGGCAAAGTATCACACCATGGCAACTTTTCACACCTAAAGAGTGTAAAATAGCTATGCAGAATGCCATTTCATCATTGCCAATCAAGAGAAAAATAGGCAAGACCTCATCAGATGACATCCCTTGCCCTAACACATGCCAGCAATCCTGTTCAGACTATTTGAATATGAATCCTAGTATTTGTGAGTATGTTTGTGGGTATGAGATTGTGAGTTGGCAGAGTTTACCAACTTAGAAAGTTAAGCAACATAACCCCACATTAAGGTTTTCTTTGCATTAACTCCCACACAATAAAATTTATTTGAGAACTAAGGACTATCTGTTTGTTCAGCTTTGCACTCCTCATGTGAAGGCCTTTGTACTGAAGCCAGAATTCACTTACGGTCTTCAGCTCAGGCAAATGAAAGCAAGACTTCTGGAATCCAGACATTTATATGCAACCAACCTCTTTTTCAGTGTCACCTTTGTGTTCCAGTTATCATATGAACAGCCAGGAACTTCTGGAATTACTTAGAGCTGCTCTTCTTTAAACCTGGAGTGACTTTAGATTAGAGATAAAGAGATTTCAATGTTATAAAACATTTATTCTATCTCAGTGAGGGGCAGGGTGAGGACATACTATATACTATTTAGACAACACAGAATTTTCTCTGCACAAAAGTGATTGAGAAGAAAAGTGTAAGGATCTGTATAATACTGCAGATAATTTCCATTTTTCAGATTATTTTTAATTTACTAAAAATCTGTCCTAGAAATGCTTAAGAATGATGCACCCACAAAATCATTTCTGTCTTGCTTCATTACGTAGAACAAAATCTGACCCTTTATTTTCTCAAAGAATGGTCTGTTACTGGCACTTTAGCAGTTATGACTACGCTCTTTTGAAAAGCATGAATGCCTGAGGCAGTCACAAGAAACCATCTCTACACTACAATAATATAAACATCTGTAAGCATTCATCCTAATGTTCAGTTGTTTCTTGCCAGAGAGGAAATTTTCCCAACAGTCATATAAGCAAGCACAAAGAATCAGAATAATACTACAGCAGGTGACCTTTTAGGACGTTGTACAAGTAACTGTTTCTTACTCGAAAAAACATAAAAGTTTTAAGAATAATGCAGAATAATGCAGTCTTCAGGAAAAAAAATTCAAAGCAAAAGACGAGAGGTTGAACACCCATCTGTCATAGTTAGATGCTAAGTTACTAAGAACAGCTGCAGACAGAGACAAGAGAGGAGCATCAGTAGTACACAAATATGTACACTGTCTGGTAAAGTAAGTAAACATGAAGTTTTTACTGTAAGTCTGTATTTGAATAATCTTTTACTTCCAGTGTAGAACTGGTATATGGAGAAAGGGATAAAAGCTTTTCTTTTCTTTTTTGACAGTCTTAAACTGGAGAGGAAATTATTACTTTGGCCAGATTCTGAAGTGGATACTATTTATAAAGTATTTTGTAGATAAAAAGCAGTGTGTACGTGCAACATACTATGAATTACTAATGTGACCTTTCAACTTTCGATTCTCATTTTAGTGAGGGAAGTGAGGAAATTTTAAGTAACTCTAACCTGTTTAATATCAAAGAAGAAGCTACTGTCTACTATTATTTCAACAACGGACATCATTATTAATCAGGGACATAGTGCATCTTCATAAAAACTACACAGAAGGAAGACGCCATATTTTGTCCCAACCGTCCAGACACATTATACTTATTATTTTTTGAACATAATGCAGTTAGTCTCTAAACGTTTAAGTATTTTTCATAAATTGCTGTAATTCTAGTCACACTTTTTTTAGAAGAGAGCTTTATAGCATAGGAAGTATAGCACAAGTCTGTGAAAACATATGGCCTTCAAAAAAAAAAAACAACCCTCATGTTTAGTGATGGTAGATTTAATATTAAAGTCTTATCAAGTATGTTTCTTTGTTCTGCTTTTCCTAACTGCTAGTACAATCAAGCCAAGAAGTCTCAAGGCAAGGCAAAAACAGTTTATGAATTTCACTTAGGGAGCAATATGAATGATGAAAAATAACCTTCATTCATGTTGGGCAAAACCACAGCCTTGATATTCACCTTCCAGCTACAGGTAAAAGCCAAAGTGCGTCTGCATGGGATATGCTTGCTTCTGCATAAAGTTGCAGGACAGACCCCTCCTAGGTTCCTAACACAATTTATTTTAAATTAAAGCTACTACCATTTCAATCAAAGACAGAAACCAACTGCCAGATCATTAAATGATTTATTCACTCCTGTCCATTTCATAGCAGGAGAATCTATCTGATTACCTTACTGAATGATGTCCAGAAGTATAGTCCAATTTCCCATACTTCTGTGTGTGGTAGCCATGCTTCTCCATGAGATCCATCCACGTTACATAATCTGGATCTAGACCTTTGAAGTTATTCCAAGATTCTGTTAAATGAGTGAAAAGACCACTCCACATAGCTGGGGGGGGGGAAAAAGGAGATACAGTTTTAGACAAGTAAGTGGTACTTCCTATTTAAACGTAAATTGAATATACTTGAGAAGGGATCAATCTTCTCATTATTTTAGAGGTAAAATATCCACATTGTGATCCAATAGAGCAGGGAATACAAAGTATTACTCTTCCAAATCTTATTTTCATTATCAATACGAATAACAACATTTACTAAAATAATCCCCAGAATTGCAGAAGAAGGTCCCATCTTTCCAAGCACTATGCAATCATTAAATCAAGGTTTTCTGTAGATCAGGAAATATTCTTATTGACTGCGGAAAGAAAATGCCATGGTAGTACAGATCCTGATGAACGAGTCATGTATTTACATGTGTTCCAGAGTATTATCTCCCCTTACTTCAATTAGATTTTAATGTGAATTTAAAGTTAAGTATGTTTGTGGAGGGAATTAGAGTATATTATTTTTATTAATACTATATTGCCCTCCGTTTTATCCTTTTTAGGTAATCTACTTCACTACCCGCTATGGAAGCAAAGCGAGATTATTAAAGAAGAGGCCAAGAAAAAAAAAACCAAGGGAAGAGTTGCAAAGGAACTACAAGGAAAGTTTTCATTAGTGAATTCCTGTGTTTCTTTGCAGCTTGTGGAGAATCATTCACTCTCCCCAATGCTAATTTAGAGTCAAAGGGAGTCCTAAACCAAAACTAATCTGTTCTATAAGCAATGAAAATATCCTATAAGCACAGTGTGTCAACCCCAACCCCATACCATGGCAATACTCCTACCTTCCCCACCCCAAAGTCCTCCTTCCCACCGTCTCTTCTACTATCATCGCTGACACCTCCACGATATATGTACCCTCAGTTCCCTGCAGGTCTCCAAGCTACTGGCTAAACAAGAGATGTCCCACTGGTTCAGAGCTACACTTGTGATGACTGACCAGTGGTCATGATGATGTTAATGGACCACCTAAAATGCTAAACAGAATTGATGAACTGTTGAATTCATCATGCAGCCTCTTCCTCACTGGGAGCAGTAGCTGCTATTTTCACAAAACTTCTTAAAACTAAATAACCTAACACAAGGTTATTGTTCTCACCAACAAAGACCGGCTGAAAAACTCAAAAATCAAGAGAAAGAAAACTAGACTAAAGGCATGTTCATGTAATCTCACTCACTTAAAATGTGACCTTGAGAAACAGAAAAGGGGACTAGGTTATCAATAAATGGAATACTAAACATTAACACTAAATTTGACAGCCTGTGCCTGCTGCAGTCAGGACAGGTTGCTTCTTCCAATGTATACCTGAGAGAAAAGGGAATCTCCCTTTCAGCTATAGATGAAATTTCATTTACATCACCTCTGGAGGGTCTTTGCAACAATTGAAAGGGCTAGAAATGTTTTAAGATGTAACCTTTGATTCAACAATATAGCTTCCTTCTAACTTCCCAGCAAATTCTGCAAGTATGAAATTGAACACACGACAATGATTGCAGCAAGTAAAGAAAAATACTGAAGTATTCAACTAGGGCTACTGAAGGATACATTATGTATTTAACAGAGTGTTTGGAATAAATGTCATTGGAAGGCAGTGCTAACAGCTATCGATTTATTCAGCTGTTATTATTTAATACTTCTTCCTGAGAACAGGAAAGAGATTTATTAACTTTGTATCGGGAAGGGAGAGTAGTTCTGAATGCAGCTTCAGCACTGCAGCAGACAAACTGCTGACGATTTCTCTACAAATCTTGAAGATTTTTAAAAAACACTGACGCTTCCATGGAATTTGCAGAAAGACTTGAGAGCTCACACATAGCTGGAAAAAGGAGAACAAAAAAAAAAAAAAAAAGAAAGGAAGAAGCATGAGAAATAGAAAAGAGAAACCGATCAAACATGAGAATTCTGTATAAATTCAGACAGAAACTAAAAAATTGGGTGTTACTGAAAAACAAAACAAATCCCACAAAATTAAACCCTTTGAAATTTCCCACCATTACCACATATTTAAATCGACATGTACAAGTATTTATCTTATGTTTTGCTTGGTCCTACCTGCACGGGAAGGGCAACAAATTGGAGAATTGGTATAGGCATTGAGAAAGACAGTGCCATATCTTTTCATAAAATTTATGAAAGGCAAATCCACAGTCTGATTTCCTGGATAAAATGTCAAGCGTCCATCCTGGAATCAAACAGAGAAAAATATTATATATGAACAGCATTAACCCAAACTGTTGGCTGCATTAATTCATAGATTTGTTACCTTGAACTTGTATTACTCAAATGTTGTTACCAATTCTACTCAGGTATGGAAAATAAAGTGTTGAGAACCTTTAATTAGATCAATATAAAATGGATTACTTATGAAAAAGACAACTGGGCTTCTTCATAGTAAAATTACTTCCTTTCTATCGCTATACATATTCTAAGCTCCACTTTTTGCAGGAGTAGGGTCCTACCATGATGCATTCAACAGGGATAGGTATAGTGAAAGGTGAAAAGGAGTCAGTTTGAATCCCGATGCAGATGTGTGCACTGGTACATGTGAAACCAGAACTAATCCCTCATCCTTTTCCTCTTTTTAAAGGTTTATTTTAAACTATGGAAACTGGAAAAGGGATCAGCAAGCTGAAGGAAGGCTATTCTCCCACTGCAATGCTGTCTGCAATGGTTCCCTTTTGACACTTCACTGATCCTTCATTTTACCTATTTCTTTAGCTAGAGTTTTGAACCAGTAACTTTAAAAAGACCCAAAATTTTCAAACTTTTACTGTACCAAATTATGATGATGTGAAACCAGTTTCATGTAGACTGCCCTGTTTCAGGTCACTGTCTTTTCCTGCCACTTGTATGTCCTTCCCTGGTTCAGTAAGATGTCTCAACTCAGCCCCAGCCTTACTGGTCGGCTCTTCGATGAAGAGACTGTTGACAGTGAACCTGCACAGTTTTAATAGATCTCCCAGTCAGAGACATTACTCAGATGTAGGCATCCGAGTAACTCTCCTCTAGATTTGCATGGGTAGCCCAGCAGTTGTGTTTTGCACAGCATTTAGTTTGCAAGAGCACAAAAGCAGGCAGACAAGAAGGCCAGGAGAGTGCACCAAGCTCCAGTTACAAATCCACCAGCTACTAGCTCGTTTGTTCCAAAGACAATGTACAAATTGCCACATCAGCCTCTGCGTAATAAATGCCGGCATGCAAATTCTTACTAATCCATATATGGGCAAATGGACTATTTACTTTAAATTATTTTTATTAAGTGAGAACAGTTCCTATATGAGAAACCACAGCAAAACAGCTGGTATGTGATTGCTTGTAACCCTGCAGTAACTTCTTTGTATCCACATGCAGCCTACCAGCATCAGCAGCCTACAAAATGCTTTCCATGCCGTACACTGAGCAAGCCTCATTTGGCACAAGGGGTTATTGATGTCTGCTGAAGCTAACAGTCATCATTACATGCCATTAAGTACAAAATTGCACTGTGGCTTTTACTATAATTCTTTTGTCAGGTGAGAAATCTTGGAAATTATTATTTAGTGAGATATTACCTCTTCAACAGAAAATATTCAACTGAACGACCATTTCAACCTGCTGAATCATAACCAAAAATCAGCAGATATGACCAACAGTGAATCATGGGAATTACATTCTCTTAATACTGAATAGGTAGTTTTATTCAACTAATAAAAACTCCATGACTGCTTCGGATGGAGACCTTTGATCATCTACTTCAAAATGTAAAGAACATGTACAATCTCAAGGGATGCAGGACCAAGGCCTTACCTTCTGTGAAATTTCACTTTTAAATAATGGTACATTTGAAACAGATACAAACACTTCTCAGGCATCTGAGTCACAGTGAACACTCCAGAGGATAACAGAAAATGCAAAACAGGTAGATGGATGCATGGGTTCTGAGAACTGCTAGCCTCTACAGTTTTTAATTAGGAAAATGCCTTTTTTTTTTTTTTAAAATGACTGTATTTGTTTTGAAAATAACTGTTTGCAACAAACATTGTATTTAACATAATATTCTCCTATATGAAACATTAGGCAAGCTTACATGGAAAGAACAATAGTTTCTTTCTGTCTTCAGCATTTAAGAATACAGATCAGACAATGTAAGACTTCCTAGCAATTTCATACTATGCTGTTTCTGCACATTAGCAGATGTGTTTCTGAATATTCACTTTAGTTTTCCTAGCTTAATTTTCTGGAATAATTTGTGAGAGGACGAAAAAAACACCACCAAAGGTAAGTGAGAGCAAACGTGAAGAATTTACAGTTTGTGTTACTACTGCTTCCATCACCCACGATTCCCCAGTGGCAGGCACTAATCGTCCAAGTGAAAATTTACATAATCAGAGTTTGCAACATTTCAGAAAGAACCCAGAAAACAGACTTAAGCACAGCATAACTGTGCTCCACAGTAGGAAATAATTCTTACACACAACTGAAATATTTTAAGATTAGAATTATTCTGTCATCGTTTAAAATATTTTAACCTTACAGCGTGAGCACTTCATTACCTCACTAGCCACTCAGCCATTGCTCATATACTAAGTCCACAGTCAGAGACGAAGGTGATTTTCTTCACTCTTTAGAGTTCAACGCAAGGACTGCATGCAGAAGAAAACAATTCCCTCCATTTGTATTCTGGTAGAAAATGCTATTGGATAACATGGCGTTATAGAGAGAATCACTTCATTCGGCACCAGGAGAGCAAACTGTGGCATCCCACCACCACATTGCAGTGGACGACTACACAGTAAGCCGTGCCACTGGAGATCAGAATATGATAAAAGACTGATCACCTAATTTTGTACACTACTACAAATGGCAACTAGAACAATCATTCACTAGGACAAACTGGAAATAAAGACGTAATCTGCAATACAAACTTGAAAGGAACTTCGGGCTGAAAGTGCTCTTTAGAAAGTACAGGACTGATGCGTTGTCCTGTCAACAACATATTCACAAGTTTCTCCAACAAAGATATTGTTTGTTAGAACAGCTGGAGATAAGAGTTCATTCTTTCGATACTGGACAGACAGGCGACATGTCTACTCAGTGAAAGAAGTAAGCTTCTTGAACAGGCTGAGAAGGTGAAAGCTCTACAGCTATTTCTGGGAATCCACCCTCCAAGAACTGTGCAGGACTTGCAGTTTTGAAATACCTGAGGCAATACAATTATTCTGAGTAACACAAGCAAGCACATTTCATCCAGGAACTTGAGCTGCATTGCAAGCAAAGCCTGTCATCACTCAGTTAACCTCAAGTAGCAGTTTAGGAGCTGAATTGCCTACTAGCACATTCTACCAGCAAGCCCTGTGAGAAGCACAGCATTGATGTGACACAACAGCAGAACGGTGGCTGTTCAAGCAAGAGGTCACTGTTCTGGAGGCCAAGCACAGTCCACCATCACTGAGAAGAAAATTTTTGTCGCACTTGACAAAACAGGTGTGAGTTTTTCGTAGTAGCATCACCCACAACAAAGGCAGGCATTTTTCAAATGAAAGCCCATACTTTTTGACAGCCTGCAAGACTTAAGCTTTTTTTTCCAGAAAAACTGTCAGTTTCAACAGTACCCAACTCTCTCTGACCTCTACGAGCAATGTAATCAAAACGGTTGATCTATTTCTGCCTTCAAATCCATCTCATAAAAAACTTATGCAACACAACAATTCTTTTAACACATTCTTCTTCATATGCACTACGCAAATACGATACTTTTCAGAAACAGCACCTTGTTCTTAATTGTTTTTGTAAAGAACATCACAAACATCTGGGATTTTGTTGTTCATTTTTGTAAGGGTTACCTCACTAACCCCCGTAAGATAGTCATGAAAATCTTCCTGTTTACAGGACGACATACAAAACCCTTACTAAGATTTGTCTGCAGCTTCTGCTAGCATCTGGAGACAAACTTGCCACTGACGAACTCCCAGAACCTAAACTATTATAAATTTGGCATTTTATTGGTAAATAATAGTTTTAGTAAAAGTAAATAATAGTTTTAGTAAAAAAATTTTCATCTACAAAACCCATACATTACTTTGGAATGTTAAGAGAGATGATATTCTCAAAATAAAATAAAAATAAACAAAGATTACAGCCAGAGGAAGGAAAGTAAATAAGGGGCTATTGCTTTATCTTTGAAATCATAGCAAATATGTGTTTTAAGAAAGAGTTTGAAGAAGGATAATACATGTTTACCAAATACTTAGGAAGAATTAATTCCAGGAATGACAGGCAGCAGTCAAGAAGTCAAGTGCTCTTACCTGTGCAGTCAAGGATGGCATTCGGAGATGAGTGGGCGCCAAGTGTTGATTTGTCAACAGTGAATGAGAAGTGATGAGATGTGATAGTCCTTAGAAGTAATACCAGGGAGCTTATGTTTGATTTAACAGTAAGGAGAGCTCAGAGGAGGCAGAGAAACTAAGGCTTTCCCTTTCCTCAAAGTAAAACCTTAATAAAAGCATTTCCAGCATGCTGAGTGGGCAGACAGAAGATGGCGAGAAAAGGGTGAAAAATGTGCTGTCTTTAGCTGTAAGCAAGGAAATATACTTAGTATTTGTGAATGGAAAAGAAAAATCTTTTCTACCTGTCTGGGGGTTAAAGCAAATGTATCAATAAATCACTGTAATAAAGCCACTAGAAGTTTATAAAAACATACCCACTGGTTCCTTTACCCTTTTAGCTGCAGATACTTATCTGACAAGTTTATTGTAATATTTGTTATACCTAATAAAAGTCTGAGTAAGTCAATATATGATGCCCAATAGCTTAACTCAGTCATTTAGTCTGTGATTGCAGAAATTCTCCATTTCATCTTCTGTGGAAACCTAGCGTTCTTAGATTTACAATGGAAGAATAAGGTTTAGTGACCTTCCTTTCCTTTTTGGTTTTCAAGGCAAAAGAAAAGCATTCATTTCACACACCAGGTCTGGTCCATTAATTGCTGCCCTGCCCCACAGTCCTGCTGATGTACTCCCATCCACCATAAGTTGTGATGACAAGCTGTATGTGCCACAGCTGACTGGGGAAACCACCTATACAGAAGCTTCTGATTATTGTAATGCACCTGATGAGAACATGTAGCACACTCCTGGGAAGAATGACGAGTTTGGTTTAGATAACAAGAGTTACCTACTGTCTCAGCGACACGGGAGGCCTGCCCTCATCGTCCCAACAAGCCCTCCACCCCGTGGAGGCGGTGGAGAATAAAAGCCAGCCCTATTTTCGCAGGCCTGTGATTGTAGCCCGGGCAAAGCCACGGA